CTTGTAGGTTTTTTCGGGCTATAGGGCCATGTTCTAGAGGCATTTCTCCTGACGTTTCGCCTGCATGTGGACAATTTCAACAGAAAGAGGAGACCATGAAAATGAACAAAATCTGGCTACCAGTATTAAAAAACTCTAAAATTACAACAGCAAAACAGCAGAGAGGAAACAACCAGGCACATCTTAACACCTCTCAACAGAACATTTTCCAGGCTCAGCCAGGCCTTCAAATGCTAATGAAGGTGGTCAGCTGAAACATTCACACCTAGCTTCAGCAGAGAGCTCTTTGCCCCACCCCAGTCATTCCATAGATATATAAACCCATTTTCCTATTTCCAACAGACCTCACTACCTCTGAGGATGCTTGCCATAGATGCAGGCGAAACGTCAGGAGAAATGCCTCTAGAACATGGCCCTATAGCCCGAAAAAACCTACAAGAACCTAGATTTCCAAAGACGGTGCAAGCCGTGATATCATCCCACCCTGTCCCCAGGGGCTTGGCAAAGAGGAGTCCATAAAGTCCCTCAACTTTCCTTCCTCTCTTCCTTCATTCCTCTTGCCAAGGAAGTCAACCTTTCATCTTATCACCAGCTGCTTACATAAGGGGTTTGTCATTTCTGTATTGGAAAGTCAACACAATGAAAGGTATACTTCCTTGTTATCTTGAGACTGGCCTCCCAACTGGAGCAGCTTAGAATCACAGAGTTGGAAGAGGCCATGCGGGTCAACTCCCTTCTTTCTGCCATGGACAATAAAAGCCCACCCCCCACAGATAGTGCAGTATCAACACAGCTGTTTTCACCAGAAAGGAATTTAACGAAGGAAATAGCGGCCCGGTGCCTTCCCACGATGATACAGAAAGTATAGATAAGCATTTGACCCGAGAAGCTCGCCTTGATCTCCGGGTCAGGCGCAGTTCGCGTCTGGCAAGCAGACGGGAGGCTAGCCCGGTGCAAGGTCGTCGTAATGCTTTCATGATGCTTAATGTTTTGATGTTGGGAAGGTATTTAGGCCTTCTGGAAACTCTGTGAAAGTGTCAGTTCAACATAGCTTATTAGCCTGAAAGCTTCATGGAATAACCTTAGCCTGGAAAGCAGTACGCTTGGGATTTCTTGCATTGTGATTCTTGGGGCAAATGTTTCCTTGCTTGTACCTGGGACTCTGGTTTGAACTTTGCCAATAGGATTATGTCTCCTGCTTTTACCTGAAGATCTTTGGAACTGTATCCTGCATTTAACCTTAATCTTTGGAACTTTGCAATGCTTATTCTGTATTTTGACTTGGATTTTTCCCCTCAATAAACTGTAAAACTACAGTTCTTGTGTGGTGGTGTTTGGAAGCAAGGTGAAGCCTACTCTGAGTTGCAACATCTCTGTCTCCAGGGCAGCAGAAAGCAATTCAGCTCCCTCTTCTTTGTGACATTCGGATTTAGATGCATGGCTCTCATGCCTCCTCCTCCTGGCTCTTCAAATGTCTCCTGCCCTGAAATTGGGACCTCAGAGCTGGGAATGCCAAGAGTCACAGGCTCAAGTCCCCTCGCTCTGCTGCTCCTTTTGTTCTTGGAACACAGCTTCCCTCATGACTTTTTCTCCTCCTTCACATCTGACTCATCACTTCTCCTCAAATGCCAAAGGTTCTCATTTCTTCATCTTGATTTCCAAGTGGAAAAGGCCCAGCCCTAAAGGACGACATCATTGTATTGTCGAAGGCTTTCATGGCCGGAATCACTAGGTTGTTGTGGGTTTTTCCGGGCTATATGGCCATGTTCTGGAGGCAATTTTTCTCCTGACGTTTCGCCTGCATCTATGGCAAGCATCCTCAGAGGTAGTGAGGTCTGTTGGAATAGGAAAATGGGTTTATATATCTGTGGAATGACCAGGGTGAGACAAAGGACTTTTGTCTGCTGGGGCTAGCTGTGAATGTTTCAGCTGATCACCTTGATTAGCATTCAATGGCTTGGAAGTGCCCGGGGGGAATCTTTTGTTGAGAGTGATTTTATGTGCCTGTTTGTTTCCCCTCTGTTGTTTTGCTGTTGTAATTTTTGGGTTTTTTAATACTGGTAGCCAGATTTTGTTCATCTTCATGATTTCTTCCAGACCACCTGCTGCAAGGCAACCTGAGCCCTGCCACATGCACAATGGAGGACCTTCTTGCGGCAACACCAGAAGCACTCCAAGTGGCCAGATACTGGTCAAAGGACATTTAATCAACTACCAAGCTTGCAAACTCTGTGTTTTGTCTGTTTGTTTGCTTTGTTAAAAATGTAATACAAATGCCTGGTTGCTCCGGACACGATAAATAAATAAATAAATAACCATTAAAAGAAATCGTTACTGTCTTAATATTAAATGCTCTCACCTCTACACCCTAGAACAGGGGTTCTCAACCTTCCTAATGCCGTGACCCCTTAGTACAGTTCTTCATGTTGTGGTGACCCCCAACCATAAAGTCATTTTCATTGCTACTTCATATCTGCAATTTTGCTACTATTATGAATCATAATGTAAATATCTGATACGCTGAATGTATTTTCATTCACCTGCCCAAATTTGGCACAAATACCAAATACGCCCAAATTTGAATACTGGTGGGGTTGAGGGCAAACTGATTTTGTCATCTGGGAGTTGTAGTTCCTGGGATTTATAGTTCACCTACAATCAAAGAGCATTCTGAACTCCACCAATGACGGAATTGAACCACACTTGGCCCACAGAACTCCCATAACCAACAGAAAGTACTGGAAGGTTTTAGTGGGCATTGACATTGGGTTTTGGAGTTGTAGTTCACCTACATCCACTCAAACAATGACAAATCTGAACCAAACCCGGCACAAACACTCAATATGCCCACCTGCAAACACTGGTGGAGTTTGGGAAAAATAGGCCTTGACATTTGGGAGTTGTTGTTGCTGGGATTTATAGTTCACCTACAATCAAAGAGCCCCTTGAACCCAACCAATGATAGAGTTGGGCCAAACTTCCCACACAGAGCCCCCATGACCAATAGAAAATACTGGAGGGATTTGGGAGGAATTGACAGTGATTTAGGGAGATGTAGTTCACCTACCTCCAGAGAGCACTGTGTTCCTAAGACCATCAGAAATATGTGTTTTCTGATGGTCTTTGGTGACCCCTCTGACACCCCCTCATGACCCCCCCAGGGGTCCCGACCCCCAGGTTGAGAAACACTGGTCTAGAGGCATTCTCTCCTGACGTTTTGCCTGCATCTATGGCAAGCATCCTCAGAGGTAGTGAGGTCTGTTGGAACTAGGAAAAAGGGTTTATATATCTGTGGAATGACCAGGGTGGGACAAAGGACTCTTGTCTGGTGGAGCTAGGTGTGAATGTTTCAACTGACCACCTTGATTAGCATATAATGGCCTGACAGTGCCTGGAGCAAACTTTTGTTGAGAGGTGATTAGATGTCCTTGTTCGTTTCCTCTCTGTTGTTGTGGTCAGTTGAAACATTCACACCTAGCTCCAGCAGACAAGAGTCCTTTGTCCCACCCTGGTCATTCCACAGATATATAAACCCTTTTTCTTAGTTCCAACAGACCTCACTACCTCTGAGGATGCTTGCCATAGATGCAGGCGAAACGTCAGGAGAGAATGCCTCTAGACCATGGCCATATAGCCCGAAAAAACCTACAACAACCCAGTGATTCCCCATGAAAGCCTTTGACAATACGACGACGACGACGATAATAATGCTGTTATGATTCAAAGCACCACTCTCTTTGGTTGCCACATTAATACCCTTGCTTCCATAGATTCCCGATGAAGCATGGCCCAGATGCAGAGTGTACTGCAGGAATGTATTATTTACTTGTGCCCATTTTCTTATGGAGGAAATCAAGCTTGCTAGACCAGTGGTTCTCAACCTGGGAGTCGGGACCCCTGTGGGGGTCGCGTGGGGCTACCAAAGACCATCAGAAAACATAGTATTTTCTCTTTGTCATGGGTGTTCTGCGTGGGAAGTTTGGTCCAATTCTATCATTGGTGGGGTTCAGAATGCTATTTCATTGTGGGTGAACTATGAATCCCAGCAACTACAACTCCCAAATGGCAAGGTCTATTTTCTCCAAACTCTACCGGTGTTCACATTTGGGCATATTGAGTATTTGTGCCAAGTTTGATCCAGATCCATCACTGTTTGAGTCCACAGTGTTCTATGGATATAGGTGAACTACAACTCCAAAAACTCAAGGTCAGTGTCCACCAGACCCTCCCAGTATTTTCTCTTGGTCATGGGAATTCTGTGTGCCAAGTTTGATTCAATTCCATCATTCAGTGTTCACATTTGGCATATTGAATATTTGTGTCAAGTTTGGTCTACATCTATCATGTTTGAGTCCACAGTGCTCTCTGGATGTAGGTGAACTACAACTCCAAAACTCAAGGTCAATGCCCACCAAACCCTTCCAGTATTTTCTGTTGGTCACGGGAGTTCTGTATGGCAAGATTGATTCCATTGTTGGAGTTCATAATGCTCTTTGATTGTAGGTGAACTATAAATCCCAGCAACTACACCTCCCAAATGACAAAATCAATCCCTCAACCCCACCAGTATACAAATTTGGGCGTATCGGGTATTTGTGCCAAATTTGGTCCAGTGAATGAAAATACATCCTGCATATCAGATATTTACATTACGATTCATAACAGTAGCAAAATTACAGTTGTAAAGTAGCAACGAAAATAACATTATGGTGGGGGTCACCACAACATGAGGACCTGTACTAAGGGGTCACGGCATTAGGAAGGTTAAGAACCACTGGTGTACAGTAACCCTAAATATAGTGGGGTGAACGTGTTCTGGAGCCATTGTGAGGTTCGGTCACATTTTATTCAAAGGCACTGGGATATTGTTATGAGCACAATACAATTAATGTCAGTTCCTATTCCAGCTCATTGTGGAGGTGATCAGGAACTATGCACAAGGGTTCAACCACTCTTTTCTTAAAAGTAATTTCGGAAAATAAACAAGAACCACGTGTAGAGACTCTTTGGAGATCATTTTACTGCAAAGCAAGGTGTCGTCTATCTTTAACAGTAAGAAAATGCAATACATTCCTAAGATACAAATATTAATGACTAGCGGTTATTAAAAATAAAAAAGAGAAAGACAGAAACCTAAAACAAAAAGATATTAAATAAATTAAAGGCCTATCCAATACAAAAAGCAAAAAAAAAAAAAAAAGCAAACCTAATTATGCAATGGAGACACAGCAAATTGTTCCCGTTTCAAAATACTGTAATTGTTTGGGAGGGAGTGGGAATAATTTATTTTCCCAACACGTTGAATTTGGAGTGTCTTGGATGTACGTTTGTTGCTTTTTGCAGCAAAGAAATGTTGTTTTTTCTCTCTAATCTAATGTGTTGCTTTTTTGTCTGATTAGGAAGATTCTTGTTGTCTAGGCATTTGTTGTCTAGGCGTAAGATCCAAAATATGGACCAAAAGAGGAATTACATTTTCTTTAAATAACAAACCCAAAGGTAGATATGATCAAGGTTGTGCTCAATGACCCTTTCTTTCTGGTTGCTCAAAATACAGCGAGCAAAAGGTACATTTTGAGGTCGAAATATCAACCAAATGAAATATTCCTACAAGCAAAAACTGGCGGACACCGCCATATTCTTTTCTTTGTCCTAACACTTTTAATCCAGGAAGGAATCCATATGTTCTGTCTGTTACAATCCCAAAGTAGGAAAAGAAAACCCCTAACCATGAAGTGAACCTTTTTGTGCCACTTTGCATTCAAGTGTTATTAGAAAAACACAAGCACCTCAATGGACAACAGGGGAAAACATAGAGAAGAAAGGTGTTTTTCCCTTCCTTTTTTTAAAAAAAGAACTATCTATGGAGACAGACAGGGAAGCGGGATTGTTTCAAGTTGTCGGAACCAGGCAATTCGTAATACTCAGCCACTGCTGTTTGTTCAAGAAGGCAAAGGAAGGTCACAGTTTTGTTCAGAACGAAAAAGCTCAGGCGATCTTCGTAAGAAAGAAGGTGGTGTCCAAAATATACCCTTGTGCGGTCTCTTTTTTTAAAAAATCGACTATCAAAATGTTTTCTAAAAAAAGAAATTAAAATAAAATAAATTAGGGCAATAAAAAATGAAATAGGTAGTTTTTTTGTTTCTCTCCCCAGCGTACGCTGGATATTAGGCTGTCCTCAGCGAGCCATTCGCAATGCTGTTCTTCCCAAGGCTTGGCTCATTCTTTTGGAGCCACAGCTCAGCTAACTGCGGGGCCGACCCATAAGTGGAAGCTTTGGAGCCCAAGCACATTTTGTACTGTTTTGGATCCAGATTTGGGTCACAGAAGACGGGGTGGTGCACATGGACAACTCCAACCTCCTGGCTCCGGAACGTTTTTAATCCGGCCTGAATTACTTTGTTGAACAAGTCCACGTCCTCGAGGCCCCAACCTTGGATCGAAATGTCAAAGCCGCCGGCCCGGATGAGATCCCCTTTGTAAATACAGGCAATCCCAAAGCCGTAGTTCCTCCAGAAGCCCGTCTTCTGCGTAAAGGCAAAATTGTTATCACTAGCAACCTTCCCACTATAGACAATCTTTGGATCGTACTGGCTAAAGATGACCGGGAAATAGATTTGTTGCCCCAAAACTGTGTTAGCTCGACATCGTTGCAGGAACTCGGCCGTAAACACCAAGTCAACATCACAGAAAAACAGCAACGATTTGTTGTTAAACTGAGAGGATCCGACTTCGAGGGCCAGAGCGCGGGAAAACTCGCCAGATACTGGCAAGATCTGCATGTCTGCCTTGGGATACTTGAGGCGGTAGTCCCTCATCAGCTCCACTTGCCGGGCTTTGTCGGGGTTGGAGTCTGAGTTGAAGAGCAGGACCACCAATTTGACATTCTGGTTGGAAATCAGGCATGTCTTTTCAAAGTTCCCCATGAAGCGGGCAAACATGTCGAAGCGGCCAGAGAGAGGAATCAAGATGTTGATCTTCTGGTCTTTGGGTTCCTTCTTCTCTGCTTTCGACTTACTTAGCTGGAATGGGACAAACATCTTCAAGGAACTGGAGAGGAACGACAGAGACCCAGATTCCTGGTTGATTGTGCTGGCCAGGGCTTTGGCATCCGTCTCTTCGTGCTCCATGAACTGAACTCTGCTGAAGGTCTGCTGCAAGTAGGCATGCCTTCGGACAGGGACTGTCATCTTCTTGCCCTTGTGCTTCTTGTACAAAAGGAGGAGGTCCAGGACGTACTCTGCCCCGTACATCGGGTTGACCCTGCGGTAGCCGTACTGTATCTCCTTGAAGTCAATGATCCGCCCTCTGGTCTTGGCGTTGGCGTTGATCATCTCCATGACTTGCATCACAATATCATCCAGTGCCTCATGCTGCGAGGAGTCCATGCCTCGGCGAGGCGGCTGCCCATCTGCCGCAGAGTAAAGGTACTTTCCGGTGAGGAACTCCCACTCCAAGACCTCCTCGCGCTGCTGCGGCTGGAAGCGCATGAAGGAAGGCGCAACCCCCAGCTGGAGATCATCCCTGTGGACCTCTGTATTGCTGTATTTGCTCATGAGGACGATCTCCCGGTGCAGTTGTATAGTCCGGTATCGCAGCTCCGCTATTTTGCGGCTCAACATGTAACTGTGGAGTCTGTACTGGTAGGGTGGGCTCTTGTTTGGGTGCAAGGTGATAGCTCGATGGATCTTGCTGTTATGGAGGTCTTTGATGTAGCCTTTTTTGTTCTGCTCGTAGTTCTCATAAAACAGCTGCTGCATCTGAGAAGGAATAAAAACAGGAAAGAACGTTATGAGAGAATATGGTCATAATGGATAAATAGCCAATCATCCCACATATGCCTTACATGAACAGAAGTGTTTGGTGGATAAGCTCTTCCCTGCTATTGGGCATGGATTTTCGTAATATCAGTGGGTGCCCTAAAGGAATTAGGGGCTTATAGACTGTAGACCAGAAGGAAAAACAAATCTCAGTCCTGCTGCAACCCAGAGCAGGAAACTGGACCCTCAGACAACAATCCACCACACTTGGCTTCAGAAAAACAATCCTTTTTTATTGATGAAAGATGAATACAAAATAGAAGAAAAATGAAAGGTAGAAAGTCACAGTAAGAATCAGCAACAAGAAATGTCCATAAACAAGATCATAAAACCCACAGCAAAACTGCTGAATCCTGGAACCTGTTAGCAATCCACTAACCGTACTTGGAACAACTAGAAAACCTCCGAGGAACAAGGCCACTTGAATCAGGAGACCTGCAAACGCTGGCACATGAAACTGGAACGATGCCTGGTCTGAAGCTGTATTCAGGCATATTTAAGGCAAAGAAATCTATTGCGAGACACGCCTGAAGGTTTTGTTTGGATTTCTTTCAATCTAGCTGACCTACGTAAACTTTGTGCTTCTCCCCAACTCTGCCAAATCTGCCCCCGCCTATCCTCATTAGGCAGACCAGGTGTCAGATTCTCTGGAGAACTAAGACTGGGAGGAAAAGGGAGTGAAACGTCTCCACTCGGCTCGGAATGCATGTTCTCATGGGAATCTTGACTTTCACTTTCCAAGGCTGTAGGATTTTCACTACTCAAACCATCATCATCTAAATTGGCCTCAGAATTCACATTGACATCTACATGGGCATCAGGAAATACAATCAGAGAATCAGGTTCAGGTTCACACACAGGCTGAACCCCAACAGGTCCCAGGTTGGAGATTACCATCACTTCTTCTAGGATTAACGCTGTCTTCCCAAGAGACTGTAGCATTGTTATCATTTATTTATAACAGCAACATAATATATGGCACTTTGCAATTGAAAACAACAGCACAATTCCCTGCCCATAGCCTTACAATCTAATAAAGACATGACACAAATGGGGGCCGGGCTTAGCACATCAGGCTAAACCGCTGTGCTGCAGAAAAATCCTGCTGATCAGAAAGTCAGCAGTTCGAGCCCTGGTAGGGTAAGCATCTGCCGTTAGCCCTAGCTCACCTGTCAACATAGCAGGTCGAAAGCAGAAATGCGAGTAGATAAAACAGGTAGCGTTATTTAGTGGGGAAGTAATAAAGGTGTCTTAAAAGGACATTGATCGGAGGAAAGAGCTTCTCATCATGGAAGATGAAGTGATAACACACACACATACACACACACACACTGTGGCTGGAGTTGAGCACAGCCTCCAAGATGCCAGAAATAAGATGGGAAAAACTGCCTTTGCCTCTGTTTGTGTTTGTCTGTCCTTGTTAACTGTATAATTGGCATTTCTTGTGTGTCGTATGTGTGTTCTGTACACCGCTCTGAATCCTCTTCAGGATGAGAAGGGTGGGGGTCTAAATATTGCAAATAATAAATAAATAAATAAATAAATAAATAAATAAAAGGGGAGGAGATTATATCCTGCAGGTGCTGCCTCTTCCAGCTCCCACAAGGCCAAGGGAGCGGCAGTTGGGATGGAGAAGGAAGGAGTGGCTGATACGTCCATTCTGCAGTTTCCATTTCAAGAAAAATGAAATTAGGTAACAACAATATCAGGTTTGCAGACGACACCAAATTAGGAGGGATAGCCAATACTCCAGAGGACAGGAGTAGAATTCAAAATGATCTTGACGGAGTAGAGAGATGGGCCAAAACTAACAAAATGAAATTCATCAGTGACAAATGCAAGATACTCCACTTAGGCAGAAAAAACGAAATGCAAAGATACAGAAAGGGGGACAATGCCTGGCTCGAGAGCAGTACGTGTGAAAAAGATCTTGGAGTCCTCGTGGACAACAAGTTAAACATGAGCCAACAATGTGATGTGGCGGCAAAAAAAGCCAATGGGATTTTGGCCTGCATCAATAGGAGCATAGGGTCTAGATCTAGGGAAGTAATGCTACCCCTCTATTCCGCTTTGGTTAGACCACACCTGGAATATTGTGTCCAATTCTGGGCACCACAATTCAAGAGAGATATTGACAAGCTGGAATGTGTCCAGAGGAGGAGGGCAACTAAAATGATCAAGGGTCTGGAGAACAAGCCCTATGAGGAGCGGCTTAAGGAGCTGGGCATGTTTAGCCTGAAGAAGAGAAGGCTGAGAGGGGATATGATAGCCATGTATAAATATGTGAGAGGAAGCCACAGGGAGGAGGAAGCAAGCTTGTTTTCTGCTTCCCTGGAGACTAGGACGCGGAACAATGGCTTCAAACTACAAGAAAGGAGATTCCATCTGAACATGAGGAAGAACTTCCTGACTGTGAGAGCCGTTCAGCAGTGGAACTCTCTGCCCAGGAGTGTGGTGGAGGCTCCTTCTTTGGAAGCTTTTAAACAGAGGCTGGATGGCCATCTGTCAGGGGTGATTTGAATGCAATATTCCTGCTTCTTGGCAGGGGGTTGGACTGGATGGCCCATGAGGACTCTTCCAACTCTTTGATTCTATGATTCTATGATTCTATGATTTTGTTCTTGATCAGAATGAAAGACTATATAGGGTCCAAGATTGAAACGTGGCTCCAGTTTTAATTCGTGAAAATGTGGGATTCAGTCTGGGGGACATTGGCTTAATTGTCCCAATTCTCTAATACCCCCCCCCCCCCCCCACGCAAAAAACTAGATGGGATATAGGGCATAGATGGTGAGAGGAAGAAGAGCAATCTTTGCCTGAGGGGCATCTCAAAGGCCAACGTGACACAGATAGAAGCGCTCTACATATCCAATGGTGTATTGAGTGTTCCCTGCAGGTATCGAACCACAGCAATGGGAAATGCAGGTATCTCAAAGCCATCAAATATTGATAGGAAGAGATAAAAACCAGGGCTCAGGTTCTGCCCAGCAGGCATAAATATTTATGGCTGAATGAAATGTAAACATCCAGCCAACTCTGCCAGACAAGGAGTTTGGTGACGCGAAGTGCATTGAAGAAAATATCTGGTGAAGGCTGTTACCGGGTGTGATTTGAAAGATATTATCAGTGGATGGATTCGGAGCAAGTGGTTTCTGGTAAAGTCGGGACACCAAGGTCTTCACGAAGGTGGCTGGACTTGCAAAAGAGAAAGAAGGATATGCTACGCAAAGTGCTTGATGTCCTGTGGATCTATGGAGACCACTGACGAATTGTGGAAAACAATACCTTCTTTAGCAAAGAAATAAGGCAGTGGTTCTCAACCTTTCCAGTGATCATATAATGCAGTTCAAACTGGATTATAGGAGTTTATACCAGTGGTTCTCAACCTTCCTAATGCCACGACCCCTTAATACGCTTCCTCATGTTGTGGTGACCCCCAATAATAATATTATTTTTGTTGCTACTTCACAACTACAATTTTGCTACTGTTATTAATTATAATATAAATATCTGATATGCAGGATATATTTTCATTCACTGGACCAAATTTGGCACAAATACGTGATATGCCCCAATTTGAATACTGGTGGGGTTGGCAAGGGATTGATGTTGTCATTTGGGAGTTGTAGTTGCTGGGATTTATAGATTACCTACAATCAAAGAGCATTATGAACTCCAACAATGGAATTGAATTCGCACACAGAACTCCCATGACCAACAGAAAATACTGGAAGGGTTTGGTGGGCATTGACCTTGAGTTGTGGGAGTTGTAGTTCACCTACATCCAGAGAGCACTGTGGACTCAAACAATGATGGATCTGGACCAAACTTGGCATGAATACTCAACATGCCCAATGTGAATGAACACTGGTGGAGTTTGGGGAAAATAGACCTTGGCATTTGAGAGTTTTAGTTGCTGGGATTTATAGTTCACCTACAATAAAAGATCATTCTGATCCCTACCAATGATAGAACTGGGCCAAACTTCCCACATGGAACCCCTATGACCAACAGAAAATACGTTTTTGGATGGTCTTTGGTGACCCCTCTGAAACCCCCTCGTGACCCCCTCAGGGGTCCCGACCCCTAGGTTGAGAACCACTAAAATAAAGGACTCTCTTTTGTAAATCAAGTCCATGATCCTTGAGGCATTAAAATTATAACTGTGGCTAGACTATCAAAGACTACATCAGCCATATATATGCTAAGGAATATATCCAATCACATATATACAAAGCAAGGTCTTGGCATCTGTTTAGAGCTCATCAAGTCAGGGAAGTATGTTATTATGCTCCATAAAGCATTGTCCACGTTGATGATATGAAATCAGCAAACTTGATGGACACAGCAGCTCACAAACAAGGCTTTGAGATATGTCATACTCCGAGCCCCCCTTTCATTAAATAGGATTGTATCTTCCAATGTTCACTTTGGCACACATTTATTTTGAAATGTCATTTATGGTTTGCCAAAGAAAGAGAGGGAGGGAGATAAAGGCAGGCATGAGCAGTAAATCAAATCCATTCAGCCCCCGGAGCACTGCTTCCAACAAGCCATTGATAGAATCTGCAAAGAGCCCGGACAGGAAATTAAGAGAAGACAACACACTTATTGGTTACACAACTGCATTCTAATAAGATGCTGGTGGATAGGAGCAACCTGGATGTTATGAAACCCAAGACAGCAAGTCTGTAACAATGAATGACAACTGCCAACTGCGAGGCAGGACCACATATCAAGAAATGAAGTAGCTTGGCGTTCCAGGTGGGCCTTCTCTCTAATTACATAAAGTTCAAGAATCGTACCGAGAGGAAGAAGGCGCATCAAACAAAGCCTTGTCAGAACCACCTTCCACCTGGAAGTGTATGTCCTCATTGAGAAAGGAAGACCAAGCAACCAAGGTCCCATCTACTACCCACAATTAACACTTGTGCGCCAGC